CGATATTATACTTTTTTGTTTTTTTAACAACCTCGCCTCCCGTGCAATAGTTGCATTCTTTTTTGTTACATGTTCATTTATATATACTTTTGTACCCTTTAGTTTTTTTTGCCTGCATCATCACATTATTTCTGAGTTTCCTACTGACGAATCTGACAACTATTGTTGGTTTGATTTTATCCTGTCCAGGCAAGGTGTAACAAATTGACACATCCTCACTTTCAATATTAAAGTCTTTGTCCTGCAGAAATGACACAACTTGGTCTTCCAATGTTTGTAATTCTTGCTGTGAAGCGTCTTCTGTTGTTGCAGAACCCCTCACAGCTTTTGCAAAGGACTTTGGTTTTACTGTAAAACCAGTTATAATCAGATTCTCTTGTCTCGCATTTCTTTCCATGTCGTCAACTCTTTTTTCAAGTTCAATTATTTTATTGTCCTTTTCGCTTATTTGAAGTTTAAGTTGTTTTACTTCCTCAAACAATCCAATTAATAGTTCTTGTTTTGATGTCAGCTTGGCCAGTTCCATACTCATAAAATTCAAAGACTTTTTAATGTCCTCCATGTCTTCTACACTTAGTTCGTCCAAATGTTCTTTCTTTCCACGTTTGGATTTACTTGACATATTTAAGTGTACTCACGACCTGGAGATGTATACACAGCCAAGCAAAGCCGACGCCCGATCCCAAGTCACATCTGCCCTCTGGTGGTAGCCAGCGGCCACTGCACCCGAATCCAACGTCAGATGGAAAACAGACCAAAAGGCCCCAGGAGCCTGCAGAAACCTCCACCGAAGACCAGCCTCCAGCTGCACACAGACCCAACGGCCGCAGTCTCGAACCCCCGCCTTCCAAAGCAGGCACAACCCCGGCAGAAGGTCTCCACAGCAGCCCCACACCGTCGCTCCCCAGCTCGGCGGGGCCAACTCCACGGCCTGCCTTTCACCTCCTTCCTCTCTCTGTGTCCTCCTTTCTCACTGTCCTTCTCCACTCAGTTTTCAGTATTTTGTCGTTTTTGAAGCTGTTTTATCCAAAGTTAAGTCCACTTTTCAGTTAATTGTTTGCAGAGACACTCCCAAACATACTTGCCCGGCGGCCATCTTGAATTCCCCAGTCCATATGATTTAGTACCTCTTATAAAAAACCTGAATATTACAAAATTATATATATATATATATATATATATATATATATATATGATCAAGGAATCATGATTCAAGCATTCAAGGTTCTTTTTTTGTAATACACACCACATGTGGTACATGGGGTTGAACGAAATCGTGTACACAGGTTCCAAGTTACATCCAACAAAAATATTAAAATGTGTGTAAAAGAAAAACAGTAATATGATCTAAAATATGAACTAAGAAAAATGTTAACTAAAAACACACTAAGCACTAGTAGCATAAAAACAATACGCCGAACAGCAGCACGAACATGAGTCTGTGTGAGCAGATGAGTACGGATGAATAAAGCAATATAAAATAGATCAGCAGCAAGATAATGTGATTTTCACAGTGATTTTGCTGGTTAGAGATTCATGAGTCGAAAAGCAGGGCAGCATGGTGGCGCAACTGGTCGAGCTGCTGCCTCTCAGCGAGCAGGTTACCCAAGTTCAAATCCCAGTTCGGGGGCCTTTCTGGGCAGAGTTTGCATGTTCTCTCCGTGCATGCGTGGGTTTTCTCCAGGTACTCTGGTTTCCTCCCACAGACCAAAAACATGCATGTTAGACTGATTGGTAACTCTAAATTATCCCTAGGTGTGAGTGAGAGAGTGAATGGTTGTTTGTCTTGTTTGTCTCTATGTGGTACTGTGATGGACTTGCGACCTGTCCAGGGTGTACCCCGCCCCTCGCACAGGGATTGCCAGCACCAGCGACACCCGTGACCCAAAATGGAAGAAGTGTGTAAAGATAATGGATGAATGGAGTCTAACAGCCTCAGGGTAGAAGCTGTTCCTCAGTCTAGTGGTTCTACACTTAATGCTCCTTAACTTTCTTCCTGAAGTGAGCGGGGCAAAAAGTGTGTGCGCTGGGTGAGTGGGGTCCTTCATGATTCAGGTGGCCCTCTTCCTGAAACTGGATGTGTAGATGTCTGTGATGGTGGGGAGACTGACTCCAACATCTTCTGTGCAGCCTTCAACACTCTCTGCAAAGCTTTTATTTCTGCAGCTGTGCAGCCTCCATGCCACACGTTGATGCTGGAGCACAGGATGCTCTCCACTGCACACCTGTAGAAGGAGGTGAGGACTGAGCTTCACAAACCAGCTCGCCTCAGCCACCTGAGGAAGTAGAGTCTCTGATGATCTTTCTTGATCAGGCTGGTGGTGTTGTTGCCCCAGCTGAGGTTGTTGTTCAGGTGCACACCCAAGTACTTGTTGCTGGAGTCCACTTCCATCACAGATCCTCCTATATTCGGGGTGGGGTGTAGGTAGGTGTGTTCGTTCTGTCTGAAATCCACTACCATCTCCTTCATCTTCTTCACACTGATGTGAAGTAGGGGTTGAACGAGTATATAATTTTTAAACTCGACATTAACATAATAAAACCTGAGTAGAACTCGAGTATTTGATGACGTCATAGATCTCAAGATACAAAAATAAATAAATAAATAAAACCGCAAAAAAGGTAATTAGTTACAAAAAAAAAGACCAACAAAACATTGGGAGCATATATTATGCTCCTACCATTTATCATACTGCAAATAAGTCACAGGAAAAACTAAACTATTAGTTATTACTATTAAACTGCAAACGTAAAGAAACGTGTAGCACGTCAAAAACGAAACTTAACGTGTGGGGGGGGGGGGGGTGTTGACCACCCCGCACCACCGCCAGCTGTGGTGCGCATTAAGTTTAGTTTTAGAGATTAATATGTTTATAGATTTTTTTTATAGGTTTAGAGATTATTTTTTTTGCTTTTTGTTTGTGAAACAAGGTCAGAGGAAGCTGGTTCTGGTTTGGTGGATTGGACCCGGTGTTACACCATACTCTGTGACCTGCAACAGTGCAACACCGCCCCCTACGGTCATATGGTGGTCACATAATATGACGTCACTACGGTTACTCGACGTTACATTTTTAACCTCGATAGATGTCCTAGCAATCGATGTGTAGATTACTCGAGTACTCTGTTAATGTCCTAATGTGAAGGTTGTTCTTCCTGTACCATCTCTCCAGGTTTTCCACCTCCTGCCTGTAGCTGGACTCATCATTGTTTGTGATGCATCCCACCACCGCTGTATCATCGGTAAAACTTTACAATATGACAGCCTGGATGGATAGGAGCAAGTCATATGTGAGCAGAGTGAACAGGAGAGGGCTCAGCATACAGCCATAAGGGGAGCCATTGCTGAGGGTTATGGTGGAGGAGGAGAAGTTGGGGATTCTCACAGACTGTGGTCTGTTTGTTAAGAAGTCTACAACCCAGTTTCAAATGGAGGGGCTTAGTCCTAGTGTGAGTAGTTTGTCCATCAGGGTTTGGGGGATCATGGTATTGAAGGCAACCGTGAAGTCCACAAAGAGCATACGGATGAAGGTGTTCTTCTGCTCCAGGTGGGTGAGAGGAATGTGGACCACAGAGGAGATGGCATCTTCTGTAGATTGATTCTTGTGGTATGCATTCTGGTGAGGGTCCTCGTTGATGTTGATGATTGTTCTGATGTGGGTCATGGCCTGTTTTTCGAAGCATTTAGTGACTATCGGGGTGAAGACCATTGGCCAGTAATCATTCAGACCAGTCACTGTAGAGCTCTTTGAGACTGGGATGATGGTGGCAGTCTTTAGGCAGGTGGAAACTGTTGCCAGGGTAAGTGAGGAGTTAAAGTTGTTGGCCAGCACCTCGCAAAGCTGATCGGCACAGTCTTTCAACACCTTCCCGGGGATGTTGTCTGGGCCCGTTGCTTTGTGAGGGTTAATCCTCCTGAAAGTACTCCTCACTTCAGCTGAGATTATGCTGAAAAGCTCTTCTTCCAGTGGCAAGGTGAGTCTGATGCTGGGTGGTCTGTTCATGTCTTCAAAGCATGTGTAGAACTTGTGGAGGGCATCAGGCAGTGATGGGTCTCTAGGGCGTTGTTCACTTCTGCCTTTATAATCTTTTATACAAAGTACACTTAATGCTCCTCCACATGGTCTGTGGGTCTTGTGAGGTGAATTGATCCTGGATCCTCTGTGCATATGTGACCTTGGTCCTCTTAATACCAGCAAACAGCTCTTTCCTTGTCCTTCTCAGCTCTTGTGAGTTTCCAGATCTGAATACATATGTTCCTGGCTTCCATTGGTGTGCGAACCTCTGCATTAAGCCAAGGCTTCCTGTTTGGTTAACTCTTAACATATCTGATGGTAGTGATGTCATCAGCACATTTGTTAATGTACCCCAGGACTGAGGATGTGTATTCCTCCAGGTCTAGTCCCCCCTCATTTTCAGCAGCTTATCTGAAGACCTACCAGTCTGTGCATGCAAAACAGTCTTTCAGTATGGGCCCATAATTCTGCATCCAAGCTTTAACTTTCTTTTGTACAGGTCTGGAGCGTCTCAGTGGGGGGAGGTAAGCAGGAGCCAGAAAGATGGAGATATGATCAGAGAGTCCTTGGTGGGTGAGGTTCAGCACCGGAGTGAACAAAAACATTTATTTAAAGTTTTGTCAGGAGGAGAATGTCAGCTGTGACACTGTAGAGCTTGATCACAGGTGGAGAAGCTGAAGCAGCGATGATGTCAGAGGTAAAAACGGATCACGTGATATTTGAACGTAACCTGGAAGGCCCGACAAACACTCTCTTTGGAATCTGGAGCTTGGTTCTGCGAGCTCAACTCGTAGAGTCCAGGGTCTGAATTTGTGGTCAAAAATGCATGTGTGGGTTATTCACAGAGAGGCAGAGAAAGCAATACTTATCCAAGGGTTTTAGCTAGAATCATTGGTCTGAAGGCAGAGCAGAAGTCAAGGTCCAGATATCCAACGGGCAGAAGTAACCGTCTTTGGCAAGGCGAAGGGCAAGGAATCCGTGGTCATGAAGTGGGTCAGGAATGAGAACAAGAACAAGAATGTTGGATACTTAAAACACGAGACAATGAGACAATGTGGCAGGGAGGCAGAGACTGGGGAGCGCTTAACAAGTGCAGTGTACAGGTGCAGCAAGAGTGGGATTGGGAGTGACACAGGTGATGAGCATGTGATTGAAGTGTGCATGACAGGTGCAGAGAGTGGAGATCATGACATACTGTGCTCTTTTCCAGTGTTTAGAGTTTAGAACATTATTAAGAACATGCCAAGAGTGTGGGAAGGGTTCATAAAGCCTTCATATATATAAAAACACAAAAATAAACATATGTCCCTACTTGGCAGATTTTCACCTATTTCGGGGATGTCTGGAACATAACCTCATGCGATAAGTGAGGGACTACTGTTTATATATACAGTGCCTTGCGAAAGTATTTGGCCCCCTTGAACTTTTCAACCTTTTGCCACATATCAGGCTTCAAACATAAAAATATAAAATTTTAATTTTTTTGTGAAGAATCAACAACAAGTGGGAGACAATCGTGAAGTGGAATGAAATTTATTGGATATGTCAAAGTCTTTTAACAAATAAAAAACTGAAAAGTGGGGTGTGCAATATTATTCGGCCCCCTTGCATTAATACTTTGTAGCGCCGCCTTTTGCTGCAGTTCCAGCTGCAAGTCTCTTGGGGTATGTCTCTGTCAGTATTGCACATGGAGACACTGAAGTTCTGCCCATTCTTCCTGCAGAACAGCTCGAGCTCAGTGAGGTTGGATGGAGAGCGTTTGTGAACAGCAGTCTTCAGCTCTTTCCACAGATTCTCGATTGGATTCAGGTCTGGACTTTGACTTGGCCATTCCAACACCTGGATACGTTTATTTGTGAACCATTCCATTGTAGATGTGCCTTTATGTTTTGGATCATTGTCTTGTTGGAAGATAAATCTCTGTCCAAGTCTCAGGTCTCTTGCAGACTCAAACAGGTTTTCTTCCAGAATGGTCCTGTATTTGGCCCCATCCATCTTCCATCAATTCTGACCATCTTCCCTGTCCCTGCTGATGAAAAGCAGGCCCAAACCATGATGCTGCCACCACCATGTTTGACGGTGGGGATGGTGTGTTCAGGGTGATGAGCTGTGCTGTTTTTACTCCAAACATATCGTTTTGCATTGTGTCCAAACAGTTGGATTTTGGTTTCATGTGACCAGAGCACCTTCTTCCACATGTTTGGTGTGTCTCCCAGGTGTCAAACTTTAAACAACACTTTTTATGGAGATCTTTGAGAAATGGCATTCTTCTTGCCACTCTTCCATAAAGGCCAGATTTGTGCAGTGTACGACTGATTGTTGTCCTATGGACAGACTCTCCCACCTCAGCTGTAGATCTCTGCAGTTCATCCAGAGTGATCATGGGCCTCTTGGCTGCATCTCTGATCAGTCTTCTCCTTGTTCCAGATGAAAGTTTAGAGGGACGGCCGGGTCTTGGTAGATTTGCAGTGGTCTCATACTCCTTCCATTTCAAGATGATTGCTTGCACAGTGCTCCTTGGGATGTTTAAAGCTTGGGAAATCTTTTTGTATCCAAATCTGGCTTTAAACTTCTCCACAACAGTATCTCAGACCTGCCTGGTGTGTTCCTTGGTCTTCACGATGCTCTCTGCGCTTTGAACAGAACCCTGAGACTATCACAGAGCAGGTGCATTTATACGGAGACTTGATTACACAGGTGGATTCTATTTATCATCATCAGTCATTTGGGACAACATTGGATCATTCATAGATCCTCACTGAACTTCTGGA